ACACAGGTCACACACACACAGTCACACACAGGTCACACACACACAGGTCACACACACACAGGTCACACACACACACACACACACACACAGGTCACACACACAGGTCACACACACACAGGTCACACACACAGGTCACACACACAGGTCACACACACACAGGTCACACACACACACACAGGTCACACACACACACAGGTCACACACACAGGTCACACACACAGGTCACACACACACACACAGGTACACAGGTCACACACACACAGGTCACACACACACAGGTCACACACACACACACACACACACAGGTCACACACACACAGGTCACACACAGGTCACACACACACACACACAGGTCACACACACACACACAGGTCACACACACACAGGTCACACACACAGGTCACACACACACAGGTCACACACAGGTCACACACACACAGGTCACACACACACACAGGTACACACACACACAGGTCACACACACAGGTCACACACACAGGTCACACACACAGGTCACACACAGAGGTCACAGAGGTCGGTCCTGGTCTAGTTCTGCTTCAGTCTTTAGTCCTGGTTTAGACTCAGTTCTGATCGGTTTTAGTTCCTGGTCTCATCCAGTACTTGGAGGCCTTCTTCAGTCCCGGTTCAGTTTCGGTCCGGACCCGGTCTGGACCCGTACCTTGGTGGCCTTCTTGAGGAACTTGGCGCCGTCCTTCTCGATGTCGTGCCAGGACCTGATGGGCGTCTTCAGTTCGTCTCCCACCACCATCCCGGGCCCCTGAGTCGCCGGGCCCCCCATGAACGTCATGATCCGGGCCCCCGTGTTCGGGAACGTGCACTGCACACAGAACAGAGAACTGTGTAGTGCACAGGGGCATTGTGGGAGGTGTAGGACACAGGTGTAGGACACAGGTGTAGGACACAGGTGTAGGACACAGGTGTAGGACACAGGTGTAGGACACAGGTGTAGGAACAGGTGTAGGAAACAGGTGTAGGACACAGGTGTAGGACACAGGTGTAGGACACAGGTGTAGGACACAGGTGTAGGAAACAGGTGTAGGACACAGGTGTAGGAAACAGGTAGGACAGGTGTAGGTGTGGACACAGGTGTAGGACACAGGTGTAGGACAGGACACAGGTGTAGGACACAGGTGCATTGTGGGAGGTGTAGTCACCTCCAACAGTCCCACGGCGATGGACAGGGCCACTCCCAGACTCCTCAGGGGCCTCTTCCCCTGAGTCACAGGCCAAGGGTCCCGCTGCAGCTCCCCCAACAAATCTGTCAGGTTCATGTCGATCTTCTGCACCGGCTGAAGGAACCTGAGGGAAGAAGAAGAAGAGAAAGAGAGTGAGTATCCTGTCCAGTCCTGTAGGGGGCGCTCTTACCCGTAGGTGGCGCTCTTACCCGTAGGGGCGCTCTTACCCGTAGGGGGCGCTCTTACCCGTAGGGGGCGCTCTTACCCGTAGGTGGCGCTCTTACCCGTGGGGGGCGCTCTTACCCGTGGGGGGCGCTCTTACCCGTGGGGCGCTCTTACCCGTGGGGGCGCTCTTACCCGTGGGGGGCGCTCTTACCCGTGGGGGGCGCTCTTACCCGTAGGGGGCGCTCTTACCCGTAGGGGGCGCTCTTACCCGTAGGTGGCGCTCTTACCTGTTGCTCAGAGGTTGTGGAGTCTGAGGAGCTCGTCCTTGAGCCGCTGCAGGTTTGGTCAAACCCAACATCTCCTGAAACATGAGACACGAGACGTGAGACCTGAGTCCTACAGCAGAACCAGGTCTGGAGTCAGGTCTGAGGTTCAGGTCTGAGGTTCTGGTCTGAGGTTCAGGTCTGAGGTTCTGGTCTGAGGTTCTGGTCTGAGGTTCTGAGGTCTGAGGTTCTGGTCTGAGGTTCTGGTCTGGTCTGAGGTTCAGGTCTGAGGTTCTGGTCTGAGGTTCTGGTCTGAGGTTCAGGTCTGAGGTTCTGGTCTGAGGTTCTGGTCTGAGGTTCAGGTCTGAGGTTCTGGTCTGAGGTTCAGGTCTGAGGTTCTGGTCTGAGGTTCAGGTCTGAGGTTCAGGTCTGAGGTTCAGGTCTGAGGTTCAGGTCTGAGGTTCTGGTCTGGGTCTGGGTCCGGGTCCGGGTCAGTGTTGTGGTCCTGACCTGAAGCTGCTTGGCGCTCAGGTCCTTGGTCCCTCTGAACACGTAGCTCTTGGAGATGCCCTCACAGCCGAGCTCGTGGACCTGGACCATGCGGCCGAAGGTGATGAGACCCACCAGAGCAGCAGGGGGCAGCAGAGACAGAGACATCTGCAGAGACTCCTTCAGCGCCTGCAGGTCCTCGTCCTCGATGCAGGTGTCCACCACGTACAGGAAGAGCAGGGGCATGGGGGGGCCGCGCTGGGGGGTCACACGGGGTCAGGCAGAGGTCACGCAGAGGTCACACAGAGGTCACACAAAAAAATGGTTCCAGAAAAACCAAAGAGTCCCAGAAAAACCTGAACCTGACCCTGTTAGAACCACAACCAGCAGAACAACCACCGGAACCTGTTAGAACCACCTTCAACCAGACCAGGTCCAGACCAAGTCCAAACCAGGTCCAGACCAGGTCCAGACCAGGTCCAGACCAAGTCCCAGGTCTTGCCTGTCTCCACGGGCTCCAGAACTGTGAGAGTCCCAGGGACGCCGACTTCAGGAGAAACAAGATCTTCACTCAACTGAACAACAAGAACCAGGACTAAACCAGGACTAAACCAGGACTAAACCAGGTCTAAACCAGGACTAAACCAGGACTAAACCAGGACTAAACCAGGACTAAACCAGGTCTAAACCAGGACTAAACCAGGACTAAACCAGGACTAAACCAGGACTAAAACCAGGTCTAAACCAGGTCTAAACCAGGACTAAACCAGGACTAAACCAGGACTAAACCAGGACTAAACCAGGACTAAACCAGGACTAAAACCAGGACTAAACCAGGACTAAACCAGGACTAAACCAGGACTCTAAACCAGGACTAAACCAGGACTAAACCAGGACTAAACCAGGACTAAACCAGGACTAAACCAGGACTAAACCAGGTCTAAACCAGGACTAAACCAGGACTAAACCAGGTCTAAACCAGGACTAAACAGGACTAAACCAGGTCTAAACCAGGTCTAAACCAGGACTAAACCAGGACTAAACCAGGACTAAACCAGGACTAAACCAGGACTAAACCAGGTCTAAACCAGGACTAAACCAGGACTAACCAGGACTAAACCAGGACTAAACCAGGACTAAAAACCAGGAACTAAACCAGGACTAAACCAGGAACTAAACCAGGACTAAACCAGGAACTAAACCAGGACTAACCAGGACTAAACCAGGACTAAACCAGGACTAAACCAGGTCTAAAACCAGACTAAACCAGGACTAAAACCAGGTCTAAACCAGGACTAAACCAGGACTAAACCAGGACTAAACCAGGACTAAACCAGGACTAAACCAAACCAGGAACTAAACCAGGACTAAACCAGGACTAAACCAGGACTAAACCAGGACTAAACCACTAAACCAGGACTAAACCAGGACTGAACCAGGACTAAACCAGGACTAAACCAGGACTAAACCAGGACTAAACCAGGACTAAACCAGGACTAAACCAGACTAAACAGGACTAAGGACCAGGACTAAACAGGACTAAAAGGACTAAACCAGGACTAAACCAGGACTAAACCAGGACTAAACCAGGACTAAACCAGGACTAAACCAGGACTAAACCCTAAACCAGGACTAAACCAGACTAAACCAGGACAGGATTAAACCAGACTAAACCAGGACTAAACCAGACTAAACCAGGACCTAAACCAGGACTAAACCAGGCTACTAAACCAGAAGGACTAAACCAGAACTAAACCAGGACTAAACCAGGACTAAACCAGGACTAAAACCTAACCAGGACTAGGACTAACCAGGACTAAACCAGGGAACTAAACCAGGACTAAACCAGGACTAAACCAGGACTAAACCAGGACTAAACCAGACTAAACCTAAACCAGACTAAACCTAAAAGGACTAAACCAGAGGACTAAACCAGGACTAAACCAGGACTAAACCAGGACTAAACCAGACTAAACAGAACTAAACCAGGACTGAACCAGGACTAAACCAGGACTAAACCAGGACTAAACCAGACTAAACCAGGACTAAACCAGACTAAACAAACTAAACCAGGACTAAACCAGGACTAAACCAACCAGGTCTAAACCAGGACTAAACCAGGACTGATCTAAACCAGGACTAAACCAGGACGACTAACCAGACTAAACCAGGACTAAACCAGGTCTAAACCAGGACTAAACCAGGACTAAACCAGACTAAACCAGGACTAAACAGGACTAACCAGGACTAAACCAGAACTAAACCAGGACTAAACCAGGACTAAACCAGGACTAAACCACCAGACCAGACTAAACCAGAACTAAACCAGGACTAAACCAGGACTAAACCAGGGTCTAAACCAGGTCTAAACCAGGACTAAACCAGGAACTAAACCAGGACTAAACCAGGACTAAACCAGGACTAAACCAGGACTAAACCAGGACTAAACCAGGACTAAACCAGGACTAAACCAGGACTAAACCAAGACTAAACCAGGACTAAAGGACTAAACCAGGACTAAACCAGACTAAACCTAAACCAGGACTACCAACCAGACTAAACAAGACTAAACCAAAGACTAAACCAGGACTAAACCAGGACTAAAAGACTAAACCACTAAACAGGACTAAACTAAACCAAGACTAAAACCAAACCAGGACTAAACCAGGACTAAACCAAGACTAAACCAAAACTAAACCAGGACTAAACCAGACTAAACCAGGACTAAACCAGAACTAAACCAACGACTAAACCGACTAAACCAGACTAAACCAGGACTAAACCAGGACTAAACCAGGACTAAACCAAGACTAAACCAGGACTAAACCAGGACTAAACCAGGACTAAACTAAACCAAGACTAAACCAAGACTAAACCAGGACTAAACCAGGACTAAACCAGGACTAAACCAAGACTAAACCAAGACTAAACCAAGGACTAAACCAAGACTAAACCAAGACTAAACCAGACTAAACCAGGACTAAACCAAGACTAAACCAGGACTAGGACTAAACCAGGACTAAACCAGTCTAAAACCAGGACTGAACCAGGACTAAACCAGACTAAACCCGGACTAAACCTAAACCCGGACTAAACCACTAAACCAGGACTAAACCAGACTAAACCAAGACTAAACCAGGACTAAACCAAGACTAAACAAGACAAGACTAAACCAGGACTAAAACCAGGACTAAACCAGGACTAAACTAAAGACTAAACCAGGACTAAACCAAGACTAAACCAAGACTAAAACCAAGACTAAACCAAGACTAAACCAAGGACTAAACCAAGACTAAACCAGGACTAAACCAAGACTAAACCAAGACTAAACCAGGACTAAACCAGGACTAAACCAGGACTAAACCAAGACTAAACCAAGACTAAACCAAGACTAAACCGGACTAAACCAGGACTAAACCAAGACTAAACCAGGACTAAACCAAGACTAAACCAAGACTAAACCAGGACTAAACCAAGACTAAACCAAGACTAAACCAAGACTAAACCAGGACTAAACCAGGACTAAACCAAGACTAAACCAAGACTAAACCAGGACTAAACCAGGACTAAACCAGGACTAAACCAGGACTAAACCAAGACTAAACCAAGACTAAACCAGGACTAAACCAGGACTAAACCAAGACTAAACCAAGACTAAACCGGACTAAACCAGGACTAAACCAAGACTAAACCAAGACTAAACCAAGACTAAACAGACTAAACCAGGACTAAACCAGGACTAAACCAAGACTAAACCAAGACTAAACCAAGACTAAACCAGACTAAACCAAGACTAAACCAAGGACTAAAAGACTAAACCAAGACTAAACCAAGACTAAACCAAGACTAAACCAAGACTAAACCAGACTAAACCAGACTAAACCAGACTAAACCAAGACTAAACCAAGACTAAAAAGACTAAACCAGGACTAAACCAGGACTAAACCAAGGACTAAACCAGGACTAAACCAGGACTAAACCAAGACTAAACCAAGACTAACCAAGACTAAACGGACTAAAAGGACTAAACCAAGACTAAACCAAGACTAAACCAAGACTAAACCAGGACTAAACCAGGACTAAACCAAGACTAAACCAAGACTAAACCAAGACTAAACCAGGACTAAACCAGGACTAAACCAGGACTAAACCAAGACTAAACCAAGACTAAACTAAACCAAGACTAAACCAGACTAAACCAGACTAAACCAAGGACTAAACCTAAAAGACTAAACCAAGACTAAACCAAGACTAAACCAAGACTAAACCAAACTAAACCAGACTAAACCAAGACTAAACCAAGACTAGACCAAACTAAACCAAGGACTAAACCAGGACTAAACCAAGACTAAACCAGGACTAAACCAGGACTAAACCTAAACCAAGACTAAACCAAGACTAAACCAGACTAAACCAAGGACTAAACCAGGACTAAACCAAGGACTAAACCAAGACTAAACCAAGACTAAACCAAGACTAAACCAAGACTAAACCAAGGACTAAACCAGGACTAAACCAAGACTAAACCCAAGACTAAACCAGGACTAAACCAGACTAAAACCAAGACTAAACCGGACTAAACCAGGACTAAACCTAAAAGACTAAAAAGACTAAACCAAGACTAAACCAAGACTAAACCAGGACTAAACCAAGACTAAACCAGACTAAACCAGGACTAAACCAGGACTAAACCAGGACTAAACCAGGACTGAACCTGGACCCTCACCTGGACGACATATTCGATGGTGGAAAACTGTGGGAGGAGCTCAGCAGGTTGGTTCACCTCAGAAATCCCAGCGTAGGAAGGAGGAAACTGCAGAAGAAGAAATCAGAACCAGAGTCAGGACCTGCAGGAGGTTCTGGGGGGGGGTTCTGGGGGGGGGGTTCTTGGGGGGGGAGGTTCTGGGGGGGGGTTCTGGCGGAGGTTCTGGGGGAGGTTCTGGGGGGGAGGTTCTGGGGGAGGTTCTGGGGAGGTTCTGGGGGGGGGGGGGGGAGGTTCTGGGGGGGGGGGGAGTTCTGGGGGAGGTTCTGGGGGGAGGTTCTGGGGGGGGGGGTTCTGACCTGGTTCCTCTGGTAGCAGAAGTTGCAGGCCCAGAGTTTGGCTCTGTAATCCACCTGACTGAAACAAACAAACAAGAAGAAGAAGAACTTTACTTTGGTTAAAGCCACAGTGCGGAACATTTTCATTCTGGATGTTTTTGCTGCTCGTGTCCTTCAGAGACACAGAGGACTTGCCTCTCCACAAACCTGACTCTTCTTCTTCTCCTCACAGTTTTTGTCTTGGAAAAATCATGTTTTTTAAAAATAAATATTTAACAGAACCGTTCTGAAACTCTGGAAATATTTATTTGTGTTTTTAGTTTTTACGTTTATAGTTTTTATTTGTTTATAGTTTTTATTTGTTTATTGTTTATATTTGTTTATTGTTTAAATTTGTTTATTGTTTTTATTTGTTTATTGTTTTATTTGTTTATTGTTCATAAAGACGATCAAATGTCAAATGTGGAACCAGAGCCTCAAATCTGTAAAACAAATTTCCTTTCGTGTTTGAATAAAACGACTGAACTGAACTTGAAACTTTTCATCTGAACTTTGGTTTGAATTTTGTTTTCATGAGTCCAGAAAGTTCCAGACTGGAGCTTTAAACGTCGCTCCCAATAAAAACATTTAAATCAGGTTAAACCAAGTCTAAACCCCGCCCCCTCCCACCTAACCCGCCCCCTGTTCCCTTAACCCCTCCCCCTAACCCCTCCCACCGTGTAACCCCACCCCCTGTTCCCCCGTGTAACCCCCCCCCTGACCCCCCCTGACCCCCAGTCCCCCCCCCGTGTCTCCCCCGTGTCCCCCCGTGTCCCCCCCCCCCCGTGTCCCCCCGTGTCCCCCCGTGTCCCCCCGGTGTCCCCCGGTCCCCCGGTGTCCCCCGTCCCTGACCCCCGTGTCCCCCCGTGTCCCCCCCCCCCCCCGTGTCCCCCCCGTGTCCCCGCGTCTCACCAGAGCGGGTTGAGGACGGCGCGGCAGGTGGCTCTGCTGCAGAGGACGGGTTCGTACTGGATGGGGGGGAGGTCGGGTCGTTCCTTCAGGGGGGTGAAGAGCGCCGCGATGGGGACCACCATGCGGGTGGCCTCCAGGCGAGACGACGGCCACACGTTCCAACTGAAACGGACGCCGTCGCGCTCCTCGTTCTGAGAGATGTACTCGGAGAACGTCGCCATCGAGCTGAGGGACACGAAGAAGAAGAAGAAGAAGAAGAAGAAGAAGAAGAAGAAGAAGGTGTGATGAGAAGGTCTCCTACAAACATCTACAACAACAAACCACAAGAACCAGACGAACAGACAAGAGCAGACAGGACCAGGCAGGTGCAGGACCAGGCAGGAGGACAGGAGGCAGGAGCAGGCAGCAGACAGGTGCAGAGCAGGCAGGAGCAGACAGGAGCAGGCAGGAGCAGGACAGGCAGGTGCAGACAGGCAGGCAGGAGCAGACAGGACCAGGCAGGTGCAGACAGGCAGCAGGACAGGGCAGGCAGGTGCAGGCAGGTGCAGACAGGAGCAGACAGGGACAGCAGGCAGGTGCAGGCAGGGCAGGCAGGGAGCAGACAGGAGCAGACAGGAGCAGACAGGCAGGAGCAGGCAGGTGCAGACAGGTGCAGGAGGCAGGTGCAGGCAGGTGCAGACAGGTGCAGACAGGAGCAGACAGGCAGCAGACAGGAGCAGACAGGAGCAGACAGGGAGCAGGCACAGGGGCAGCAGGCAGGAGCAGACAGGAGCAGACAGGGCAGCAGAGGACAGGCAGCAGACAGGAGCAGACAGGAGCAGACAGGAGCAGGCAGGAGCAGACAGGAGCAGGTGACGTGGCTCTTCATGTGTTTGAAGTTTGTTTACTCAATCCTCAGATTTTCACTGCTCAGTCTGGACAAACAGAACCAGAACCAGGACCAGGACCAGGATCAGAACCAGGACCAGGACCAGAGAGTCCTGGACCTGGGCGGGACCTGCGTCAGAGCCTGGTCCTGGTCCTGGTCCTGGTCCTGGTTCTGGCTCAGGTCTGGGCTGTTTACGTGGGAAAGTTCCTGAGGCAGAATCGCGGCTCCAGAACCGAACCGTCTTCACAAAAGTGAGTCCAAAACAACAACAACAAAAAACAAACAACAACAACAAAGATCTGACAGAAAATCTGAAAGTTTCATTCACCAAGAACGAGGCCGAAGAGAAACAAACAAACAAACAAACAAACAACAAACTGACACAGACCAGGACCAGGACCAGGACCGGGACCGGGACCGGGGACCGGGACCGAGATCGGACTCACCTGAGCGGGGCCGGTTCGTGGGGCCGGGTGCAGCAGCAGCAGAGGCCGGGGGGAGAGGCTCTGGAGGCGGACACTGAGACCGAGACGAGCCGCTGAATCTGCGGAGGATCCACAAGATGGCGGCCGTGCCACGTCACTGCACAGATAGGAAGAGGAGCGAGAGGGCTCACTCTGTTTGATAAACCCGCGCTTCTGTTATGTTAACAGAACCGCGGTTCTGTTCAGGTCCACAAATCCAAATGACCCGATTTAAAATCAATATCCTCCACAGTAACACTTATCTTCAAACAAGGGACGATTTATGTAACATTTTAAATTGAAACTCCAAATAAATGTACAGTTTAATTCATGTATTATATATTTATTATATTCTATTTTCATGTAATAATAATGATAATAATAATAATAATGATATTGTTGTTATTATTATTATTAATAATAATAATAAACAGTTTACTGAGATTTATCGCACTGCAGCTGTGGACAGAGGTCTCACTCTGACACATTCCAAAGAAACATTCCGACGCACAGAAACGTGACGCACGTGATGAAAAATATATAAAGTATTTAAAGAGTTTTTAA